CTATGAGGCCTCGGACCAGGAGCTCTCCGAGGGCTTCTCCGACCACTCCATATCCCCAAGCGGTCGCACCAAGTCCTTCCACTCCTACAACTTCAAGTCTTTCGACTCTTCTGACCGGGCCAGCCGCTCGTCCTCCAACCCTGGTGATGGTCCTCCCTTTGATGGTGTCTACCACCCACTCTCACCCTTCTCCACCTCACCCTTCGACCTGGGGCTTGACCTGGCCAGCACCAGCTCCATGGCCACGGCCGAGAGCAGCACACAGACCCCCGCCAGCGGCCCTGGCACCCCCTCACCCCTGGAGAGCTTCAAACCCTTCCCCGGGATGCGAGCCCGCAAGAGCTCCAGCCTCTCCAACGTCCTGGATGAGAGCAGTTACCAGGACACGCTGCCCAGCGACAATGTCTCCAACACCAGCAACCCCCAGGTGAGCCCCAAACCATCGTTCCCACCACCCTGGGTTACGCCAGACACCCGGACCTCTCACCCTTCCTCCCCGTTGACAGCAAACGCCCGAGGAGGAGCTCTGCAACCTCTTGACCAACATCATCTTCTCGGTGACCTGGTGTGGGGTGGAGGGCTGGGACGACACAGCGTGGAGGGAACGTGGGCAGGTCTTCTCCGTCCTCACCAAGCTGGGGACGGCGTGCGAGCTGGTGCGACCCCCTGATGAGATCAAGCGGAGGTGAGTCCTACCACAGTCCAGAGTGGAGTCCAGTGGGGTGCTTCCCAAGGGAGGACCACCCTACGGAGTGGGTCCATTCTCCCGTAGCCTGCTGGAGATGATGCTGGAGTCAGCGCTGACGGACCTGAAGGAGTCGGGACCAGCCACCCTGCCCGGGCTCACCCACAATGCCCTCAAGCTGCTGCGGCTGCTCCAGGACTTCTTGTTCTCCGAGGGACACAACAACCAGGCACTGTGGAGCGAGAAGGTTGGATGGGCACAGGCAGGGCTTCCTGATCCCAAACGCAAGCGCTGAACACAAATGATGGCCCCTAACGCCTGATGTTAGCCCTAGCCCTAAACCCTGCCCCTACCTGCAGCCGTTGAACCTAACCTTAGAAAATAACCTGTGCTTTAATCCCAAACCCAAACCCATAACCAGTAAAACCAACCCTAACCTCTAAACCTAACCCTAAATCTTAACGCTAGCCCTATGCCCTTGCCATAAAACCCAACCCTAACACTTACCCTAACCGTAAACCTTAAGCTTAGCCCTGAACCCTTCCCATAAACCCCAACTCTAACCCTAAGCCTTGACCCTAACCCTGCACCCTCACTGTGGAGCCCAATCCTATATCCTAGCCCTAACCCCTAACCCTAACGCTTAACCCTAGCCCTACACTGTTACCATAAATATAATCCTATACTCTAACCCTAGATGCTAAGCTCTGACCCTAACACCTATCCCTAACTCATAACCTCTAAATCTAACCCTACACCCTTGCTCTAAACCCTAACCCTGATCCTAAACCCTAACCTCTAATACTAAACTTTAACCTTAACCCTACACCCTTACCATAAACCCAAGCCCTAGCCCTGTACCCTAATCCCTAACCCTAAACCATAACCCTAACTCATCACCTGTCAATCTAACCATACCTCCTAAACCCTAATCCTAAACCTTAACCCTACATCCTTGTCATAAACCCCAACCCTTGGCCCTGATCTTAACCCTTAACCCTAACTCCACACTCTTACTGTAAACCCAAACCCCAAACCCTCACCTTAACTCATAACCCTCATCTAAATCCAAATCCTAAACCTTAACCCCACATCCTTGCTATAGACCCCAACCCTAACCCCAATCGTACCCCCTAGCCCTAACCCCAGTCCTAACCCTTAACCCTAACCCTCCACCCCTGCCATAAACCCACACCCTAAGCCCCAACTCAGCACCCTAAAGCCAAACCCTAACCAGTTAACCCTACCCCCAAACCCTAATCCTGACCCCCACCCATCACCCAAACCCACGTCAAGCACAGCCCAAGGGTGGCTGGGTGGTGGGGACAGACCTGGTGGCTTTGTGCCCAGCCAGCCAGATAGCTGGGGGGTGCAGGGCTGGGTGGGGGGCTCACTGTGACCCCCCCCAGATCTACGAGGGGGTGAGCAGTCTGCTGGACAAGCTGGGCGTCTGGTACCACCTGGCCAACGGCACCTCCGACCTCAAGGAGATGGCCCAGACGGGTCTACGCATCCTGGTGGGCTACATCCTGCTGCAGGACCCCCAGGTGGGTCAACCCTTCCTGGGGAGCTTGGGGTGATACCCCAGCCCTTGGGCCAGGGCAGGTGGCCCCATCTGATGTCCCATGTACCCCCCTTCCCAGCTGCACTCGCTGGCGTACGTGAAGCTGCACAGCCTGCTGCAGACCTCCTCGGCCCCCAAAAAGGATGAGGCTTGCTACCTACTGGGCAAACTGGAGACCCCCCTGCGACGCTCATTGGATGCCAAGTCGGAGACTTTCTCCTGGTTGGTGCCCATCATCCGGACACTCATGGACCAGTGCTACGAGACCCTGCAGCTGCAGCTCTTCCTGCCCTCCTTGCCCCCCACCAACGGCAGCCCAACTTTCTATGAGGACTTCCAGCTCTTCTGCACCACTCCAGAGTGGAGAAGCTTCATTGAGAAGCACGTGGGTGTCACGGGGCATTGGGGTGGCATCACCACTGGGGAAACTTCTTCTCAGGCTTAGAGATGGGTCCAGTGCTGCGGTGGGGTGCCCATGTCACCACTGGGTTGGGTGACCTCCAGGGCAGGGATGCTTATAGCCTGGATGATGGTTGGTGGGTGCCAAGCCCTGCGAACAACTCCCCTCTTGTCTTGGTAGGTGCAGCCCACCATGGCCCAGTTTGAGATGGACACCTTCGCCAAGAGCCACGACCACATGTCCAATTTCTGGAACGCCTGCTACGATGCCATGATGAGCAGCTCGCAACGGCGGGAGCAGGAGAAGGCAGCCAGCCGCAAGATGTTCCAGGTACTGCCTGCTCCTCAGCCTGGGGATGTCCTCCTCATTCTGGGGACATCATTCTGGGGACGTGCTCCTCATCCTGGGGACATCATTCTGGGGACGTGCTCCTTGTCCTGGGGACATCATCCCAGGGATGTTCTCATCATCCTGGGCATGTTGTTCTGGGGATGTGCTTCTCACCCTGGTGACATGCTCCTCACCCCAGGGACATGCTCTTCGCTCTAGGAACATTAATCCTGGGGATTTGTTCTTAATCCTGGGGACATCCTCCTCATCCTGGGGGTATCATCCCAAGGATATATTTGTCATCCCAGGGATGTCATGCTGGGGAAGGTCTTCTCATCCTGGAGACATACTCCTCACCCTGGGGATATTAATCTTGGAGATGTGCTCTTCATCCCAGGGGTGTCATCCTGTGGACATACCCATTACCCTGGAGATATTGTCCTCAGGCTGTGCTCCTCATCCTGGGGACATTCTGGAAATGTGCTCCTCATCCCAGGAACATCATCCCAGGGATGTCCTCCTCACCCCAAAGACATCATCCTGAGGATGTTCTCCTCGCCCTGGGGACGTCACCCCATGGACGTGCTCCTTGCCTTGGGAATGTCCCCAAGCCCCAGCCCTGCTGTTACTTCACTCTCCCACTCCCTCACCAGGACCTGGTGCTGGAGCCGGCGGCCAAGCGCGCCAAGGCAGAAAACGCCCGGCACACCAACGTCCTCAAGCAGGCCAACAACCACCACAGCACCGTGCTGAAGCAGTGGCGGTCCCTGTGTCGCCTCCTCACCTCTCCCCGCTCTGCCTGGGCTGACCGGTGAGACCCCACCTCAGTCCCTGGGGAGGGGTGGCATGGCTGGGGGTCCCCAGGGTGCCTCACCCCCATTTCTTCCCCAGGAACCCACCGGAGGTTCGCTGGAAGCTGTCAGGTGCTGAGACCTACTCCCGGATGAGGCTGAAGCTGGTGCCCAACCTGAATTTTGACCAACACTTGGAGGCCAGTGCCCTACGGGACAACCTGGGTGAGACCAATGGGAGCTGTCCTGGACCTTGTTGGGGTTGTGGGGTGGAATGGCAGACCCTCAGAGGACTTGTCCCCCAGCTATGGGGGTCAGAGTGGCCTGTTGATCCCCCTTCTTGTTTCAGGAGCTGACCACCTCCACAACCCCACCGAGTCCCTCCCGCTCGCCATGGCCAAGGAGGCCAAGGTGAGCGAGCTGGAGGATGACCAACTGGCCGAGGAGGACCTCCCTGTCCTGGACAACCAGTGAGTGTCCCCGTCCCCTGCCATGGGACCAGCTCCCCCAGGCTGGAGGTGTCACCAGGGTCTCCTCAACCCCCTGTGATACCCAGGGCTGAGCCCAAGGAGCAGAACCAACGGGAGAAGCTGGTGGTCTCGGAGGACTGCGAGCTGATCACGACAGTGGCCGTCGTCCCTGGACGCCTGGAGGTGACAACCCAGCACGTCTACTTCTACGACGGCAGCAGCGAGAAGGAGGAGACGGAGGGAGGTAACGGCACGTGCTGCTCGGGGATCCTGAGGAGCCCCCCACCCATCCCACCTCCCCCTGAGGTCCACCTCGCCGGGTGCTGGTTGTTTTGAGGGTGGGCTCCTCCCCATGCTGGCTCCCATCCCTGCCTTGGTAATTGGGTTCTGGGTGGATGGTGATGCCTGTGGGGCCCTGTGACCCCCATCCCAATCTTGGCAGGGATCGGTCACGACTTCAAGCGCCCCTTGTCCCACCTGCGCGAGGTCCACCTGCGCCGCTACAACCTGCGCCGCTCCGCGCTCGAGCTCTTCTTCATCGACCAGGCCAACTACTTCCTCAACTTCAAGAAAAAGGTGGTGGCACCCTTTCCTTCCCACCCAGAACCCCCCAGGGGCCGTGGCACTGCCCAGGCTCTGGCCACTCCATGTCATCCCCGCCATCCCCCCAGGTGAGGAACAAGGTGTACTCCTGCATCCTCGGCCTGCGTCCCCCCAACCAGATCTACTTTGGCAGTCGGTCGCCCCAGGAGCTTCTGAAAGCCTCGGGGCTCACTCAGGTACTGGCCCCACCTTGCCCACCCTTGCTTCATGTCTCACCTTCTCAGATGGCAAAGGATGCCAATGTGGGATGGAGATGACCAGGGGACCAGGGATGAATGACCATGGGACCAGGGATGGCCATGGGTTGGAGACGACAATGGGGCCATGGATGGCTGTAGGACCAGGGATGGCCATGGGACTGGAGATGGCTGTGGGAAGGGGATGGCCATGGGACCCGGCATGGTGGTGGGATGGGGACAGCCATGGAACCAGAGATAGCCATGGGACCAGGGATGGCCATGGGACTAGGGATGGCCACGGCAACAAGGTAGCCATGGGATGGGGATGGCCACGGGACCAGAAATAGCTGTGGAACAGGGACAGCCATGGAGTGGAGGTGTCTTCCCACTCTCCTGCCCCCTGGCCCATCTCATCTGCCCTCCCTTCCCTCCAGAAATGGGTCCTGCGGGAGATCTCCAACTTTGAGTACCTCATGCAGCTGAACACGATAGCGGGGCGCACCTACAACGACCTCTCCCAGTACCCCGTGGTGAGCCCCATGTCCACCCCACTGTCCTCCCAGTGATCCCAGGCCGCCCCCCAAGCCTCACCCACCTCCTACCCCCACCCAGTTCCCCTGGATCCTACGGGATTATGTCTCGGAGACCCTCGACCTCACTGACCCAGCCGTGTTTCGGGACTTGTCCAAGCCCATTGGGGTGGCCAACGAGCGGCACGCCCGGGATGTGAAGGAGAAGTGAGTACCCCCAAAATGAAGGATGGGGGACATGGGGAGTGCCTGGCTGGCTCTTGGTGGACTCCCCCCACCTCTCCCCCAGGTATGAGAGCTTCGAGGACCCCACGGGCACCGTGGACAAGTTCCACTACGGCACACACTACTCCAACGCAGCGGGCGTCATGCACTACCTGATCCGCACCGAGCCCTTCACCACCCTCCACATCCAGCTGCAGTTTTTTTCCCAGCACGGGGGCCCCAGGGAGGGGACATCAGGGGGGACAAACAGGCTCCAACCAGGTGTCCTGTGCCACCAGGTTTGACTGCTCGGACCGGCAGTTCCACTCGGTACCTGCGGCGTGGCAAGCCCGCATGGAGAACCCTGTAGACGTCAAGGAGCTCATCCCTGAGTTCTTCTACTTCCCCGAGTTCCTGGAGAACCAGAACGGTGAGGGGACACCCACCAGCCCCACCATGGGGTCACAGCAGGGGTGGGTGTCTCACCCCCTACATGATCTGCCTTCAGATTTCGACCTGGGCTGCCTACAGCTCTCCAACGAGAAGGTGGGCGACGTGGTCCTGCCCCGGTGGGCACGTTCCCGGGAGGACTTCATCTACCAGCACCGCAAAGCCCTGGTGAGATGGTGGAGCTCATCCCAACCCCTCTTCCACTCCCACCCCTTGGGGGGGGTGTCGTTCCCAGCATTCCCAGCTCACCCTGATGCTCCATCCTTGGCCAGGAGTCAGAGTACGTCTCAGCCCACCTCCACGAGTGGATCGACCTCATTTTCGGGTACAAGCAACGAGGCCCAGCTGCCGTGGAGGCCCTCAACGTCTTCTACTACTGCACCTATGAGGGTGACCCGTGGGGCA